CATGCCCTCTACATTGCAGCGATATTGGAAAACACTCTATTCTTTCATCTCCATGCCTTTTGTAGAAGCTATCCTCCACGCCTCCTTAGCTCTACCTCTTAGAAAGCATCCTCAAGTGCCTCCTCCTACAAAGAAACTTGATACCCCAAATCTACCCAGTTGCTTGAGGTTACTTTGGATCCATGTTGTATTTCATTTTCTGTGTATGTGTTGTTTCCCCCAATAGAATGTAAAACTCCTTGAGGGCAGAATTCATTGTTGTCTTTGCATTCTCAGTACAGAGCACAGGCCTTTCATGTAGTAGAACCTTAATGCTTGTTTAACTGAATTGAATTCTGGATAACTGATATTCAGCTTCAGACCCCTAAATAATTAATGTGCCCACATGTGGGAGGTCTTCTCCTGTGATGGGGGTATGTGTGACTTTAGTCAAGGAGGACCAAGATGTGGCTCCCAGCCCAAATTTGTGGCATGTGTCACTGTTTTGCATATGATGTGTCCTATCTCTGAAGTCAAGCAGAGTCCACCTATGCACCATGTTAAACCCTCAAGGGAACAGAGATGCAATGCACAAATTCCTGCCTGCCTTCCCTGGAGATACACCAACCAAAAACACCCAGACATCCATAGCCAAGTTGCTCCTGCAACTTCTCAGATACATACTTGTTCTTTGCTTTCCTACTTGCTAAGTCACTCCACTGTGACTGTCTCAAGAGGCCAAGTTGTATACTTGTTGAGCAAAACTGCCTCCAATCCTCATTCTTTCCCTACAATAGATATCAGTAGAACCCCCAAGGCTTAGCTTCTCCTTAGCTTAGTTCCTCTGCATCCTTTCCCACTGCTAACTATTGAGGCATTATTATATTTGTCTACAAATATTTCATGATGCCTTCACAAACTTTTTAACTTTTTTATCTCATGTTCTAAATCTTATATCCTTTATTCAATAAAATTAGATGATGCATCTATTTTGCTTCTTTTATCTTAAGAGATGAATTGACATTTTTGACAAGCTCTATATGCACAATTAAATAAAACAGACTTCTTGGATTTTAAACTATTTAAGTATTATCAAATGTTAAGTGTTGGGAAAGGCACTAAAATTGCTTCAAACTTTTTTCACAGGTTATTTGTATTTTAGGCGATAGATTTTCTCCATAAATATACACCTAAACATATTCAGAAAAACATGTTTTATTCTATTTATATTATTTCCAGACCCCAACAAAAATATGCTACTTATTATAATGTGTTAACATGCTATTTTGTGATTTATAAGTCATAAGTCTTCTCCTTGATTTTATAACAGACTTCTGGATTAATGGAGAGACATTTTTTCTTTTTACTGTCCAAGTTGTTTTTTTTTTTCTTTCTGAACAATGGACTAATTGGCTTCATTTAAGCTTATCAACGTTGCCTTTGGATGGATTCCTTAGTAGTGAGAATAGACACCTGCTGGTGCTCTTCTGCCAATCACAATGAGGGGTCTATACACTTGGTAACACTAAAGCTCTTGAATCAATTAACAAAGTACAACTACAAAATGATTGAGTGGTCATTGCAAATCACTATCATAGAAAAAAACCTAAGAAAAAAGGGCAGACTTTCTTGTTTCTCTGATTAAAAACAAACAAACCAAAAACCCAAATCCACAACTTAGAATTTTGAGACATTTTTTATGAAGGGAATTCCACAACAGAGACTGAATTCCACAGAACCTGTTAATATCCTTAGAAATGCTTAAACTATTTACTCATTGATAGTGGTTCCATTTCTTTTTTGAATTTTAATTTTCAGTTCTAAATTCTCTCCCTCCTACCATCTGTCTGCCATCCATTGAAAAGCAAAAAATACTATACCCACTATACATATGAAGTTATGTAAAACATATTTAGTGGTTCCACTTCTAATAACTATTCCTACTAAATTGACATAATAGGGATTTTCCTAGGCTGAGTAGCTTCCAACCTTTATAGTTCCTGGTTCTCTTACATAAAGACACATCATCCAATCTTGGGTCCAGACCACTTAACCTATTTTTTTTTTTTTTTACAAACTATTTTCCTTAGGCTTTCAAGGAAGCTTGCTATTACCCTTTTTAAGATTATGTTGCCAGTAGAATTGGGTGTTGTTTTGTGAAATTAGTGATTTAAAGATATTTTAAATTTGTTTGATTTAGTAATTTCTCAATTCACTTTCTTTTTTATCTTCTGCCTCTAACTTATATTCTCATCTTTAGCTTCTGGTGGTGTATTTGTCCATAAGTGCAATCATGGACTATACAATATATATACACATATTTGTGTGTGTATATAATTTATATGTATATTTTTATATAATATATAATTTATTATATTATATATAACATTTATTTATATATGAATCCTGCCTTGAGCTGAATAAAGAACATTGTAAAAGGAAAGAAATCTTTATTATATAGCTACTACAAATTCTTCACCTTGCTACACCCTTAAATTAACTTTTTAAATAATTATGTCATAACCTCTCTTAAGATCACCAACTGCAAACCAACATAAATTGTTCTATTTTAACTGTCATATGAAAGAATGCATCAAATCACTAACAATTAACCTTTGACCCAGATATTCCTCTGGTAGGTATGTTCCCCAAAGAGGTCACTGACAAAAAGATAGGCTCTACATACACCAAAGTATTTATAGCAATACTTTTTGTGGTAGCAAAGAACGGGAAACAAAGCAGATGACCATTGACTGGAGAACAGCTTAAACAAACTGTGGTATGTAATGGAACATTACTGTGCTATAAGAAATGATGAACATAATGAATACAGAGAAGTATGGGAAGACTTATGTGAACTGATACAAAATGAAGTAAGCTGAACCAGAGAAATAATAAACACAATGATTACAATAATGTAAATAGGCAAAAGAAAAAAAAACCCAAAACAAACAAACCCAACCACCATAAAACAATCAAAATTCATGTTGTGAGATTATAAAAAAATGAAGTTTGCCCCAAAGAAGAGGTATGAGAAGACACTCTCCCCTTTACCCCAATTCGTGACGCCTTGGGGTCATGAGTGTGGAACATTGCATATAACATAAGTTGTTTTTTTTTTCCTATTTAATGACCAAGTTTTCTGAATTTTTTTTTCTTTTTCTTTTAAAATAATTATTAACAGATGATTCTCTGGGAGGATGGAAAGGAAGAGATATAGGGGGAAATTTAACAGGTTTAAATACAAAAGATTTCAATAAAATTGTTTTTAAAATTTTGTTTTACTCAAGCAAAGAAGTGTCAAATAGGTTTCCTGTGGACCACATTCCAGAGTGCTACCAGAAGCAGATTAAAATGTAATTGGTAAATATTTAACAAATTAAATTAAAATACAATAGAACACAGATAACATTAATATGTGCTTTTCCAAGTCAATGTACAGCCTGCAGGGATCCTTATGTATGGCCTATGCCATACTAATACTATTTGCCTTATAGATATGGCCTAGCAAGTATCACTAAAACTATTGCTTGAAGGAGAGATTGTTTGTTTAATAACAATAGCATAAAGGTCCTGCTACTTTTCTCCAAAAAGGGAAACTCCTGATTTCACCCTGTGATAGCAGTCCTGGAATTCACTTTTCACACAATCACTGGAATAATCCAAAAAGTTGCCTTCTTCTATCATTCCCCAAAACAGAAAACTTAAGTAGTGAGGATATAGTGTGCTTAGCTCTCTTCTAATGTATCTCCTACTCATTTGTCTTTCAATAGGTCATAGGAAATGTGAAAGGGGAATGTTTTGGTAATTTCATTGTCCTCATTATTATTTAATCATTTGATTAGCATTCTATAAAGCAACATGGCCTCCATAAAATCTGCCATTATCAGGGTTTAAGAATAGGTACACTAAATCCTTTCTCTAGTTGTGGCTAATACCTGATGCTTCAGAGGAGAACGATGCTTTAGTAAGAAGTCACAACATAAGACTCAGTGGGATATATTAGCTGACAGAAAGAACTCTCATTCTAAAAGGGGCACATGGAATGTGGGATTAGGATCCAGAAAGCCTGGGCTTTTATTCTTTCTCCACTGTTTGCTAGCTGTATAATCCTGAATAAGTCACTTAACCTTAGTAAGGTCTTATATTTGCTTTATCTACAAAATGGGGACAATAAGACCTTACCAGCCATTAGGCAGGGGGGTTGCCCCGATTCTCTCCTAAGGTCGCTTTCAGCTCTAGGATTTATAATTGTGTTTCTATAAAAGCTTCCATGCTGCCTATGAAAGAATGGTTTGGAATAAGCCAGTACAGACAATATTTGATTTGGAACAGATTACATACTGTCCTTCAGGTTCTCTGTCTGAATAAAATGGGATTATCTTATGCTTCTCAAAGGAGGGTGAAATAGGCATTATTAGTATATAATGTAAAAAAAAAACCATAAAACACTCTTTAAAGGCTAAAATATGTCTTAAGACATCACTTTTAGTACCTTATAACTCAATACTGAAAGCACACCATCAATTAAAAACAATTCAATAGACATTAATTGATCATCTAGTATATTTAAGATACTGTGGTGGGTACAAGAGATACAAACATGAAAGACAATATTGTCCCTGCCCTCAAGGAGCCTATATAATCTGTTAGGGAGGATTTGACATGTAAACATATAAATGTAGTGAATTTATATAGAAGTAAAATAGAGAGACAGAGGGGACACCCAAATTACAATAGGAAAATTTGAGGAGGAATTACTTTTGGCTAGCAAGACCTGAGAAGGTTCATGGAAAAAATGAAATCTGAACTAAGCTTTGAAAGAGAAAAATTTTAACAGATGAAGATTAGGAGGGAATGCATTTCAGGATAGTGGACAGACTATCTGATTTCTCAGGAGGAAGCAGCATATTGTGTTCTCTTAGGGTGGTGGTTTTTTGTTTTGTTATCAAAAGAAAACACCACAGCACTTAAAAAGTTAAAAATGATTTTCACATTTCAATGCCAACTCCAGACTTTACCTTTGTTTCTGCTGCATGGGTTGTTGTCTCATAGCCATATATTGCATGTCCTCTTGTAGTCGATTAAGAGGGGAGTCTGGCTTGACACGAATCCCATAGTAATGGTACTTGGAGTTCCCTCTTCATCAAGAAAAACAACAGACAATAGAAATATAAATGTCAGTAAATATAAAATTAGGCTTATTCAATATCCATTTAATTTAAAGCGCTGCAAAATTAATTCCAAGAATGAAGAGCATATAAATTGCACACACACAAAATGGCTGGTCATGTGGGAGAGCTCAACTCAACTTAAAAAGCGTTGAAGCACCTACTATCGTGTACTATTTGTACACGTATCAGGCATTGTACAAAAACAAGGGAAAAAACAATACAGTCCCAATCCTCATGGAACTTATTATATTCTACTGGGGGCTGGGGGTAGGGTGATAAGATATACACAGATAAGCATAAAATACATACAAAGTAAATATGAAGTAATTTTGGCAGAGCACCAGCCAGTTTGGGAGAGCATCAACAATCAGAGGTCTGCCCAAGTGGTACTTTAGTAATCCTGAAAAAGGATAAAAAAGGAACAAGGGGAAGGCCTCTAGAGCATTGAGCAAAAATCATGGAGAACGAAAGAAAAATACCTAAGGGCTATAATCTTCCTTGGTGGAAGAAGTACCTATACAGATAAATTCACAGATACACCAAAGGACCTGTATATATGAATACATATGTATATAATATGTGCCTATATGATATATGTATATAATGCCACATAATATATACATATAAATACATCTTACATTTCATGCAAGTTAATAGAGTAGCTGTATTTACAAAATTAAAATTCCATTCTGACAAATAAAGACTTTGAAAAATTTTTTTTTAATCATATTCTGCCTTGATATTTTCTGAGCAGTTCATTCAGAAAATATGTATGTTCTCTCAAGTTAAATTCAACACACAAGTGTTATTCCTAAACTGCAAGCTCATTGAGGGAAAGTTTTACCGAAGCCTTGTATCCTCCTTAGTACCCAGTACTGTGCGATACACAGGTGAACAATTAAAAGTTTGCTGGATCATATTCTTGTAGTATTAACTTAATTAAAAGGAGGTCAGTTATTTCAGTGGGAAACTGGTCATTAGTAAAAATAATGTAATGTAGGATAAAGTGATTCCTCATTAAAAAGGAAATATTAGTGGGATAGAAATTACCTACAGGTCTTACACTAAAAATTACACTTCTTGCTCTATCACCTTGGACAAATAACTTAATATTTCTATTATTTACTTCATGAGAAGGAGTGTTGGCAGTGGAATAAATACACTGATTTCGAGCTTATAAAATTGTTGTGTTAATTCAGTTAATTAATTTTTTTAATAAAAAGGGCTTTGTAGATGTTAAGAAGAAATTATTTCATCCCTGTTGATTCTCAAACACATTTTGTTAGTCACTGTTTTTAAATGAATCCCTATCTGTTTTGCAGGCTGAATCAGATGTATCACAACAGACACTGATGGGGAAATTTCTCTGTGAAAATGGCAAATTTCCACATGGGACAAATGATTTCACAATTTCTTCATTTTCATGAGAAAGCCTGTGTTTGGTGACAAATTTTTTCTCTGAATGGAATTTGTGAATATTTGCAAGAATAACAGTTTTAAACATGTAAATTCTTGCGATGAGAAAATAGTTTCTAACAGGTCTAAATATAGTAAGGCATTAGAACTCTTCCCATTTTTTTCCTCTTCCACTTAAAGAGAAAAATCTGAGGAGAATTTGTGCTAGATTAAAAAAAAAATGGAAAGATGCTACTTTCAAGTTTAAAGAGTAATTATATAGTGTAATGACTACACCCTTGTAAAACTGTTAAAATGGGAGTATAATACAGATTTATTAATTGGCAAAGATATACAGTATATCTGATATCTTGATATGTAGTATATTTTTGAGTAGTCAGTCCCCCAATTTAGGAAGTAATCCTAAATCCAATATGATAGGCCTTCTTTAAAGAAAACTTCCAATTAAAATCAGTTTTTAGTGTTTTCGGCCTTGGAACAAAGTGACAAGCCAGCTCTATAAACTTTATCACTAGTCTCTTTTTCTTCAAAGTAAAGAGCAGTGAAAAAGCAGGAGTAGGGATACAGTAGTGCATCTCTCATATGACCTCTTCCCATTCTGCTTGGTTGATTTTTGGCTCTACTGTATTAACAAGATGGCACACTCTGCTCCATGAATGGCCTCACAAAAATTCATGAAGGATCCAAGAGACAGGGTGAATTAACTATCAATTTGGCAAAAATGTTCTATAAACATTTTAATGTTTTGATTCTGCTTAGGATCAATAGTTTTACAATGTATATTTGGTTTTTTTTTCTGGTTTCTATTAGGTATAGCTTTTTTTTTTAGAAGGGAAATTATTTTATGGCTTTTTCTGCTTTTTGGTAAAAATTAATATCTTGGCTCATTTTGGTTCATGGTAAAGTGTTGGTCAGACTGAATCTTGGTACAAGGTCCTGTTTGAGGGAGATTGAGTCTTTTTTTGCAGTAGACACATTCAGCAGTATCTGAGCCTGATTACTTTCCTTTTTGCTATATTAGCCCAGCTATCATAACAATCCAGAATGGGGCTTAACATTTCCATTTGTGAATAAGTTCTTATTCTTTGCCTAGATTTTCTTTCCCATCACTCATGTTAAATATTAATTTTCAAAAAGGTACAGGGCAAATTACTGGTACATTTTGAGTATAAAAACGATAGCAGGGACCCCTTGGAAAGTAAAAGTCACAAAAGTAAAGTAGAAATTTACTCTACTCAATGGATTGTACTTCCCAAACCCAAGTCTTCTCTCTTTTCTTTTTTTGAGATACTTTCCAGAGTAAATCTGGAACTTTAAAAGTGAAGCCTCTATTGAAATCTCTCCCAGGGACAGCATACAAGAAAACATTTAAGCAAGCATGAGCTATGCAAAGCTAATGTTTGCCAAAGTATATTGACCTATATGGCAAAGTGCTTCCTGCAACTCATGCTTGCTTAGGTGTTTTCTGACACTCTAAATTATATTTGCAACCATTCTTTTTGTGGTTCTGGACAAGGGATGAGACAGGAAACAACTAAAGCCATGAATGTTAACTCCTTCCGTTTGATGAAAGTAATTATATGCAAAGTCCGTGGCTTAAAATTTGCTAAATCTTCTGTTCCATGGATTCCTCACTAAAATTCAATTAGCAGCCAAGAAGAAAGTTGAATTAAATATCACATTGGCTGATGTTTAGAACTGCAAACACTTTGGTATTCTGGTTTGGCTTAGGATTAATAGTTTTAGAAGATATATTGGCTTTGATATGGTTTCAGAGATATAATAGTTGCTGAAGAACTGAATCTGTAGTTATTTAAATGCTGTCCATGCAGGTAAAATTCAACAGAAAGGGATAATTTTCATATATGTATTATATATATAGATATGCATAAATCTACATATACACATACATACATATACATATATGGATTTTGTGTACATATATACACACAAAATCGACATATACATATATACATACAAACACAAAGTCCATCATTCATAGGAATCTGAAAGGCTCATTCTTCTCAGAATAAATGTATAATGAGGTCACTAAGATTGTTATTTGACTAAGCACACTTAGAGATGTTTACTAGAATCCTATGGCACTATGAATCATAACTAATTAAAATTAAACTGCAGTTGCTAAAATTAATGAACATACAATTTCTTCATGAAGTAGTTCTATTTTTCTTCTTTATATGAGATTCCTAATCAATAAAACTTAGCAATTCAGATTTAATCCTTAGCAACGCAATGTGGTGCAAGGGCCAGGGGATGGATCTGGATGCGGAGGACTGACGTTCAATCTGGCTCTGCCTCCTCTGTGACCTTGTGTAAGTCACTTCATCTCTCATCTGTAAAATGAGGGGACTGGTCCAGATTACCCCCGAGGTCCCTTCCAGCACCAAATCTATGATACCATGAACAATGGAAACATCTATTTGCCCCTGAATTGCTGTTGCAACACCTCAGTTACTTGAAAAATATATAACTTACAACAATTATATTGAAAAATCTGGAATTGAGAGAAATAAAACTAGTTGGTTTTAACTATATACACGAGCTTTAAGAAGACAGAATTTTAGAGTTAGAATTGCCATACATATTATCTAGTCCAACTCTCTTATCTTATTAATAAAAGAAATAAACCTCAGGAGAGAGGAAGTGACTTGCTTTAGGTTATACAAATACGTCACGGCAGGCCTGGGATTCAAACTCACATTTCCTAACTCCTAATCCAGGGCAATTTCCTCTACACACTGAGCATCTCATTCATTTCATCACATCATGTTTGCTTAAAACACCAAATACACATTTCCAATGAAGTGAGAAATTGGGAATAACTGCCAAAAAATTTCTAAAATTATTAAAGTTTCTAAGCTATGGAATTTTTATTTTCCTATTTCCCAATAAAGAGGAAAAAAGAACGTGGTGGAGCAATAGGCTTTTAAAACCCCAATCACTTCCTGCAACCTAGCAAACAAGGAATACATTTTTTATGTGTCCACAAAAAGATCTATTGTTGATTTGCCCTCTCTATAGAAATTGAGCCATGTTAAATCAGCACTCTGTATTTCTGGTAGGAGAGTGGGCATGTAGATGTCAACCTTTTTTATATGACTGTTTTTAATATAATTTTGTGGGAGGCAAAAGACAGACTTTTTCTATTTAATATATCTGTTTTGTTGAGCATCATCCGTAGCATTTTAGAAAGGATCGTGATATGGTGTTTAAGATATCGCAGTTAACTTTTGTGTTAAATTGTTGATCTATCTGCCATTTTCCCTCTGGCTTGGTAATCGACTCCTCTCACCCCTTTTATTATTGTGTCATGCAGAAATCAGCTGGTGAATTCTGAAGTACGACTTTCTTTAGTGCAGGAGATACTTCCACCTTCCTGGTCCAATAATTTTCCACATGGGTAATGTTTGGGATAAACACTTGTCTTTTGGATTTGGTAGTCTCCAATGGATGCCTCTCTGGCCTTGCCTAATCTGTGTCCTTGTATTCTCTCCACATACAGACACACTTTCACATACTTTCACTGCAATAAGTTTTGCAAATCCATATTCTTATTTTTCAGTACTGACCTAGTTCCCAATCTCCTGGTTCGTAGCCCCATGAAAATTGACCTTATGAGTTTTCCAAAGGAGGCAGCATTGACTGGGTCCAGTTTGTGTTCCTGACAGTGTCGTAGGTAATGGTTGTAAAGGGTACTTCTAGGGAGGCTCACACCTTCTGCTGTTTCATAATTGTCCAACAGCCACTGGAGCTATTATAAGTAAGACAGAGTAAACAAAAAGAAACAGCATAATTTACCAAAATATCTACAAGCCACTGAAATCATTAGAGTGTCACTTCACACACACAAGAAAGTATTTAGAAGCTCTCCTGAAAGCCTTATGATAGGATAAGTAGCTCTTTTTAAGTGAATTCAGAAGCTTAATATACTATGGGGTTGAAAATGCTTGGAAATGTCTGTTAAATAGCAGAAGTCATAAACCTGTGACCTCCAACAATGCCTGTCTCTCCAAATATTCAAGAGCATGTAGTGACACACTGATTTTCACTGTATTGATTGCTGTTTTGGAGACAAACAGTTATTTCCATCGGGGAATTTAGATAATCATATTAACTAGTCACAAATATAATTTATACCACCATGGAACAGAAAAACCATGTTATCCAGACTGACGGCATGGCACCTAATATATCTTTATTGTTGGTTTGCTACAACATACCAACAGTAAGCCCTTATATTATGAGGCCTTATATTAAGGGTATATTAATTTTTATAGGGGTCCTAATTTACTTGTTTCAAATTATCACGAGATAACATAATAATAGTATTGTCTGCTAAGAAAAAAAATTCTGAGAAGGTAGGAAGGGAAAAAACTCAGTCATTTCTTGCCAGAAGGGAAGAAACTCAGTAACTCAGGTTAAAGAATATAATACAATTGATATCTATTTATTCATTTTTCTATCTCTGTATCTATTTGTGATGGGGAAAGTTGTAGTAGTTAAAGATAGTTATTGTAGGTTCAATTCTTTGACTTTTAAAAAGGAAGAAATGATTTATTAGAACTATATTGAAACTTCCAATCTCTAGGCAGAATTTTCACAATGCCATAGAAGGATGATGATTTGCTGACATGGCTATACTCAACATCAATTTCAGTCTTATTGATAGCCCTGGGGTTAAGTTTTCTTCTGCAAGAACACACAGAAAGAAATAAAAAAGATTCTAACGTACACAATTCTAGTTTCTGAGGTCCTAACAAGGATTACAGTTGTAAAATGGGCAGGACCATTTATTATTGCCCCTGTTTTACAGATGGGGAAACTGAAACATAGAGAGTGACTTGCCCAAGATCACCAAAAGAAGTAATCCTAGAGCCTAGATCAAAACTCAGGTCTGATGATTTCTATTTCCTTGCTTTCTCTACCAAAACATGCCAGGAATGCAGCTACTGGATGACTGAGAAGAATCTTGGTGTATTGCTCCACAACTCAATAATTTAAAATGTATATCTAAGGTTAATCTATACTTCTCAATGCAGAAATATAAGACTTTGTGAGGTTTCTCCTAAGTTGAATCATAAATAGGGAAGCCAAGGAGAGGTTGTTAAAGCTGTCACAATTTCAACTAACTTTCCAAGCACTTCCCCTTCTCTACTGACATTTTCAGGGATTTGTGATCAGACTTGGAATGTGAATTTAAATTTGAAACTTAATAGGGTGCCACTTTCAGACTTTTAAAAAGAAAACATTCAGTATGATTTTTTTTTCAGGTTTCCTGCCTACAATAAAATTTCTTAGTTGATGATTGTGTTGATTGAATGCCATTTTATTAGGCTGATGCACATATACATATATATTAGAATACATACATTGTATCCAAAAAATGCATACATGACCAGGCTTAGTTTTTGTACAAAATAAACCTAATAAAGACAATTCAGGAGAAGCATAGGTAAGGTTGATTATTAGGTAATGGTGACAACTAAATTTTACATAGGGGTTCATAGTTTAAGCTCTTCCACTTACAATACCTCATTTGATCATTTCAAAATTCCTGTGAGGAAGGGCAGGAACTGTTACTTTTATTCTATAAAAAAAGAAACTAAGGCTCACATAGCTAGTTACCAGCAAGACAAGGACTAGAACCCATGTCCTGTCTAATGACAAGTTTGGTGTTCTTTACAGTGTAGGTAAGTGCTATAGAGTAGACTAAACATGAACACATTTCAGTAACTGGCACATTACACGAAAGTGGCACCGGCTGAATGTAAAAACTCTTCTAATGGCTTCCAGTCACACATTCATTCCACCGTACTGCACTGACAAAAACTCACCTTAGGACCATAGGATCATACATTTAAAGCTAGGAGGGACATTGTGTGTCATCTAGTCCAACCACTTCATTTTACAAATGCAGAAACTGAGGCCTTAAATGACTTGGCCAATTACTCAGATAGGAATAGTAATTGGTGGAGTTGGAATTTGAATCCAGTTCTGATTCCAAATCCAGAGTCTTGTCTACCCTGAGACCTCTTCAGCAAAAACGCTGAGTTATTTACCAGGCCCCAAAACAAATTGTTCTTTCTTATAATTATTTAACAGGTAAAAATAAGTATTTGGTAATTTAGCAAAGAACTGGTACCATACATTTAATCTCTTTGATAGACTCAGAAGTGTTTATACATCTTTTCATGAATATTTAGGCCTTTACAAATATGTAAGAGAAAAAAGAAAATTTTGCATATTTTGAATTTTATTTTATTATCATTATTACAGGTATTACTTATAGCTTGAATTACTCATAAAAATTCCTCACTTGTGATACTTGTAATCATTTTCCCCAAGGCATTCTAATGCTTTCCTAAATGCTACCTAATTGATTCTCCTATAATGAACATAAACAATTGGTATTCACCCATATTTTAGATGGCAGCAGCAAGAATGTGGCAGATAAGCAGTAATTCTAGTTATCTGAAGTTCAAACTACCATCTCTTTCCTGGTTTTTGTTTCTGAAATAAAAAATTCTATTTACATGACCGCACCTGAATTAGACTTGCCTTAAGTTTTATTTTGGTCCAATTATTTTAGGTCATCTATATAGTTAAAATGGGCTATTTCCATAGGGCTCAGAAAAGTATAGTGACCAAAATTTTGGTCTCTTTTCAATTAGGCTCCATATATAAGCAAAGTTAAGTTGTTTGCCTTTTATTAGTATTCTTCAAATAACTATAGAAGGTATATTTGTTATCTGCACAATGACTCATAATAGAAAATAAATTAAGCAGAGAAGAAAAAAATATTTGACAAAGCAAATGCATGGAACTTTTTAAAACGTTAAAGTCCTACTCAATATGAGCAATATGAGACATACAAAATCAACAAAGGAAAAGGGAAGTTTGATTCAGATAATTATAAGATCTATTTTCCATACAAATTAATAAATATTTGAAGGGCAGCCCTAAGGGATAGAATCTCAACAGAAAGGGGTAAAAAATGTCAAGAATCCTCAGCAAATTTACTTGGAATAGCTGGGGGGAATATTCTAAGATTACATATGGGAAGTCTAAAGTTGAAAGGATAAATTTTAAAAGGGACTAGGAAAAGTTTAATTGATATAATTGGCTTTACATTCAAAATTGTGAAAATATTTTTAGGATGTTTAAATGAACATGATGCAAAATACTTTTACTACTGAAGGAAGTCAAACTAAAATAATCTGTGTAATCCAAAACAAAAATGGAATTTTTTCTATAAACTTCCTTAATTTTGTATTTGTCTTCTGGCCAGATTTAATTAGTTGACATGAAGATATACTCCCGAATATTTTATTTGTACTAATTTCTCATGAAGATTTCCTCTTAATTTTTAAGTGAATCATCTGAGGAAATCAAAAGAACAATGACTTTTATGAGAATTATAACAAGTATATTTATAAAGTATTTGATTCACCAGTAATGCTGCAAAAGATATTGAGTTAGGATAGTAACAAAAATTTTATTCCATGAAAACAGGTAACTAATGTTTTTTACCTCATGCTCAACTTTAAAATATTTTAGAGTTAAAGGCTATGTCCACATAAACAAAACAGAGAATCTCTTCAAATAATTCATAACAAAAACAAAATTTTGCTGGAAAGATTCACATAATAATTGGGTATTGAGAGCTAAAATTATCCACATGAGTGCCTTATTTCCAATTCACATTAGCCATGGCCGCCAAAGAATTGCCACCAAGTTGAATATTTAATGGTTGATTAGGTTTTTTCAGTCATAGTAATGATTCCCACACACAGATTGGATTAGCTGTGTGGTAAAACAGAAATGACTGTTCAGATGGCCAAAAAAACTATTGATCATTGTAACTTGATTATTTTCTGATATACATGTATAATATGCATAATATACATAAATACACATACATATATATTTTATCCAAAGATCACATGTATATTGTGTGTATGTATATGTCTGTGTGTATATATATATATATTATGTATATATGTATATATCCAGAGACTATATGTCTCTATAGCTATCTAGCCTCTTGATATGCAGTTGCCACCTAAGTGTAGATTTACATGTCCTTCGGAGAATATTTCTATAGTTTGCAGTTCCATTTTCTTCCTTCATTACATAATAAATGACAAAATCTTGGCAATTTGGTTCTACCTGGGATTTAGTTGCAGTCATGAGGATGTACCTTCCCCACCCCCAAATTTACTAGCTATTATTTTGTTGAATATATTTTTTTTTCTTCCATTAACAGAGGGGTCCTTTAATCTTTTTTGTGTGGAAGAGCTACTTTTCATTTCTTTTGAGTCAGGAGTAAGAGCAGGTGGCACAGTTCCTGCCAAAAGTAGGGGAGGAGACCTTGCTGTTGGCTTTCCTCCCTTCACATTTGACAATCCTAGAAAATTACTAAAAAGGGAAGGGGTGAGATAGTTGAGGTGAAGAGGACAGTTGTCAGACATTTGGAACTACCAAGTAATACTTCAAGATTTAGCAATAGTTAGTAATCTACTTCCTGGAGATGCCTATTTTTTTTTTTTAAGGTACAATCAGGATCCACAAACATCATAAAATTGCAAATTGGGTCTTTGGGCTCCAAAATATAATTTGTAAAAGTTTTTATTTTATTTTGAGAATTGCATGGACAATCAAAAGATTGTTTCAAATCACTAATCAAGGGATTAGAGTCTATTGTGCTAATAGATACAATTTCAAAGATACCTAGAGATATACTTGAGATTT